TGCTGTCTCCAGATTTTTTAGTGATCGCCATTCTAACTGGCATGAGATGGTATCTCAATGTAGTTTTGATTAGCATTTCTCTAATGACCAGTGATAATGTACATTTTTTCATGTTTCTTGGCCTCATATATGTCTTCTTTTGAAAAGTGTCTGTTCACATCCTTTGCCCACTTTTGAATAGGTTTCTTTTTTTTTTTTTCTTATAAATCTGTTTTAGTTCTTTGTAGATTTTGGATATAAGTCCTTTGTCAGATGGGTAGATTGCAAAAATTTTTTTTCCCATTCTTTTGGTTGCTGGTTCACTCTGATGATTGATTCTTCTGCTCTGGAGTTTAATTACATCCCATTTGTCTATTTTGGCTTTTGTTGCCAATGCTTTTGGTGTTTTAGTCATGAAGTCTTTGCCTATGCCTATGTCCTGAAGGTTTTGCCTAGGTTTTCTTCTAGGGTTTTTTATGGTGTTAGGTCTTATGTTTAAGTTTTTAATCCATCTGGAGTTAATTTTAGTGTAAGGTGTCAGGAAGGGGTCCTGTTTCTGCTTTCTGCACATGGCTAGCCAGTTTTCCCAACACAATTTATTAAACAGGGAATCCTTTCCCCATTGCTTGTTTTTGTCAGGTTTGTTAAAGATCAGTTGTTTGTAGATGTGTGGCATTGCCTCCAAGGCCTCTGTTCTGTTCCGTTGGTCTGTATCTCTGTTTTGATACCAGTACCATGCTCTTTTGATTACTGTAGCCTTGTAGTATAGTTTGAAGTCAGGTAGCGTGACGCCTCCAGCTTTGTTCTTCTTGCTTAGAATTGACTTGGCTATGTGGGCTCTCTTTTGGTTCCATATGAAGTTTAAGGTGTTTTTTTCCAGTTCTGTGAGTAAGGTCATTGGTAGCTTGATGGCGATAGCATTGAATCTATAAATTACTCTGGGCAGAATGGCCATTTTCATGATATTGATTCTTCCTAACCATGAGCATGCAATGTTTCTCCATCTGTTTGTGTCCTCTCTTATTTCATTGAGCAGTGGTTTGTAGTTCTCCTTGAAGAGGTCCTTTACATCCTTTGTTAGTTGTATTCCTAGGTATTTTATTCTCTTCGTAGCAATTGTGAATGGGAGTTTGTTCTTGGTTTGGCTCTCTTTAAGTCCTCTATTGGTGTATAGGAATGCTTGTGATTTTTGCACATTGATTTTGTATCCTGAGACTTTGCTGAAGTTGCTTATCAGTTTAAGGAGATTTTGCACTGAGACAATAGGGTATTTTAAATATACAATCATATCATCTGCAAATAGAGACAATTTGACTTCCTCCTTTCCTAATTGAATATCCTTTGTTTCTTTTTCTTGCCTGATTGCTCTGGAGGGAATTTCCAATACTATATTGAATAGGAGTGGTTAGAGAGGGCATCCTTGACTAGTGCCAGATTTCAAATGCTTCCAGTTTTTGCCCATTCAGTATAATATTGGCTGTGGGTTTGTTGTAAATAGCTTTTATTATTTTGAGATATGTTCCATCAAACCTAGTTTATCGAGAGTTTTTAGTATAAAGAGTTGTGGAATTTTGTTGAAGACCTTCTCTGCATCTATTGACATAATCATGTGGTTTTTGTCTTTGGTTCTGTTTATGTGATGAATTATCTTTATAGACTTGTGTATCTTGAATTAGCCTTGCATGCCCTGGATGAAGCCTACTTGATTGTGATGGTTAAACTTTTTGATGTGCTGTTGCAATCAGTTTGCCAGTATTTTATTAAAGATTTTTGCATCTATATTCATCATGGATATTGGCCTGAAGTTTTCTTTTTTGTTGAGTCTCTTCTGGGTTTTGGTATCACGATGATGTTGGTCTCATAAAAAGATTTGGGGAGGATTCTCTCTTTTTGGATTGTTTGTAATAGTTTCAGAAAGAGTGGTACCAGCTCCTCTTTGTATGTCTGGTAGAATTTGGCTGTGAACCCATCTGGACCTGGGCTTTTTTTTGGTTGGTAAGCTATTAATTGCTGCCTCAACTTTGGCCCTTGTTATTAGTCTATTCAGGGTTTCAACTCTTTCCTGGTTTAGGCTTGGGAGGGTGTAAGTGTCCCGGAATTTATCCATTTCTTCCAGGTTGACTGGTTTATGTGCATAAAGTTGTTTGTGGTAATCTCTGATGGTGGTTTGTCTTTCTGTGGAATTGGTGGTGATATCCTTCATCATTTTTTATTGCATCTATTTGATTCTTCTCTCTTTTCTTTTTTATCAATCAGGTTAGCCATCTGTCTATTTTGTTGATCTTTTCAAAAAAACAACTCCTGGATTTATTGATTTTTTGAAGGGTTTTTCTGTCTCTGTCTCCTTCAGTTCTGCTCTGATCTTAGTTATTTCTTGTCTTCTGCTAGGTTTTGAGTTTTCTTGATCTTGCTCCTCTACCTCTTTCAATTTTGATCATAGGGTGTCGATTTTAGATCTTTTCTTGCTTCTCATTTGGGCATTTATTGCTATAAATTTCCCTCTCAACACTGCTTTAAATGTGTCCCAGAGATTCTGGTATGTTGTATCTCTGTTCTCTTTGGTTTCAAAGAATATCTTTATTTCTGCCTTCATTTCATTGTTTATCCAGTCAACATTCAAGAGCCAGTTGTTCAGTTTCCATGAAGTTGTATGATTCTGAGTTAGCTTTTGAATTCTGGGTTCTAGTTTGATTGCACTGTGGTCTGAGAGACTGTTATGGTTTTCATTCTTTTGCATTTGCTGAGGAGTGATTTACTCCAATTATGTGATTAATTTTAGAGTAGCTGTGATGTGGTGCTGAGAAGAGTGTATATTCTGTGGATTTGGGGTGGAGAGTTCTGTAAATGTGTATTTGGCTTGCCTTGTCAAGGTCTGAGTTCAAGTCCTGGATATCCTTGTTAATTTTCTGTCTTGTTGATCTGTTTAATATTGACAGTGAAGTGTTAAAGTCTCCCACTATTATTTTGTAAGAGTCTAAGTCTCTTGTAAGTCATTAAAAACTTGCTTTATGTATCTGGGTGCTCCTGTATTGGGTGCATATATATTTAGGATCGTTAGCTCTTCTTGTTGCATTGATCCTTTTACCATTACGTAATGCCTTCCTTTCTTTGTCTCTTTTGATCTTTGTTGGTTTAAAGTCTACTTTATCAGAGAGTAGGATTGAAACTCCTGCTTTTTTTTTTTTTTTTGCTCTCCATTTGCTTGGTAGATCTTCCTTCATCTCTTTATTTTGAGCCTATGTGTATCCTTGCATGGGAGATGGGTTTCCTGGATACAGCAGACCAATGGGTTTTGAATTTTTATCCAATTTGCCAGTCTTTGTTTTTTGATTGGGGCATTTAGCCCATTCACATTTAAGGTTAATATTGTTATTTTCAAATTTGATCCTGCCATTTTGATGCTAGCTAGTTGTTTTGCCCATTAGTTGACACAGTTTCTTCATTGTGTCGATGCCCTTTACCATTTGGTATGTTTTTGGAGTGGCTGGTACTGGTTGTTCCTTTCTATGTTTAGTGCTTCTTTCAGGATCTCTTGTAAGATAGGGCTGGTGGTGATGAAATCGACGAAATCTCTCATCAATTGCTTGTTCATAAAGGACTTTATTTCTCCTTTGCTTATGAAGCTTAGTTTGGCTGGATATGAAATTCTAGGTTGAAAGTTCTTTTCCTTAACGATGTTAAATATTGGTCCCCACTCTCTTCTGGCTTATAGGGTTTCTGCTGAGAGATCCACTGTGAGTCTGATGGGCTTCCCTTTGTGGGTAACCCGACGTTTCTCTCCGGCTCCCTTACATTTTTTCCATCATTTCAACCCTGGTGAATCTGATGATTATGTGCCTTGGTGTTGCTCTTCTTGAGGAATATCTTTGTTGTGTTCTCTGTATTTTCTGGACTTGAATGGTGACCTGCCTTGCTAGCTTGGGTAAGTTCTGAATAATATCCTGAAGAGTGTTTTCTAGCTTGGATTCATTTTCTCCGTCATGTTCAGGTACACCTATCAAACATAGATTAGTTCTTTTCACATAATCCCATATTTCTTGGAGGCTCTGTTCATTTCTTTTCACTCTTTTTTCTCTGATCTTGCCTTTTCATTTTATTTCATTGAGTTGATCTTCAATCTCTGATATCCTTTCTTCTGCTTGGTCGATTCGGCTTTTGAAACTTGTGTATCCTTCACGAAGTTCTCATGTTGTGTTTCAGCTCCATCAGTTCATTTATATTCCTCTCTAAGCTGTTTATTCTTGTTAGCATTGCATCAAACCTTTTTTAAAGATACTTAGTTTCTTTGCATTGCGTTAAAACATGATCTTTTAGCTCAGAGAAGTTTGTTATTACCCACCTTCTGAAACCTGTTTCTGTCAATTCATCAGACTCTTTCTCCATCCAGCCTTGTTCCCTTGCTGGTGAGGAGTTGTGATCCCTTGGAGAAGGAGAGGCATTCTGGTTTTGGGTATTTTCATCCTTTTTCTGCTGGTTTATTTCCATCTTTGTGAATTTATCTGCCTGTGATCTTTGTGGTTGGTGACTTTCAGATAGGGTCTCTAAGTGGATGTCCTTTTTGTTGCTGATGAAGTTATTTCTTTCTGTTTCTTGGTTTTCTTTCTAACAGTCAGGCACCCCCTGTTGTAGGCATGCTGGAGGTCCACTCCAGACCCTACTTGCCTGGGGATCACCTGCAGTGGCTGCAGAACAGTAAGGGTTGCTGACAGTTTCTTCTTCTGTTATCTTTGTCCCAGAAGGGTACCCCCCAGATGTCAGCCTGAGCTCTCCTTTATGTGTGTCTCTTTGGTTAAACATGGGTCAGGGAGCTGCTTGGGGAGACAGTCTGTCCCTTATAGGAGCTTAAGTGCTAAGCTTTGAGCTTCACTGTTTTGTTCAGAGCTGCTGGGCAGGTACATTTACGTCTGCTGCAGTGGAACTCATAACTGCCTTTTTCCCCCAAGATGCTCTGTCCTGGGAAGGTGGGGCTTTATTTATAAGTTCCTGTCATTCTACTGCCTTTTTTCAGAGATGCCCTGCCCAAAAATATGGAATGCTTCACTTATTTGCATGTCATTCTTTTGCAGGGGCCAAGCTAATCTTCTCTGTATTATTCCAATTTTAATATATGTGCTGCCAAAGCGAGTGCGTAGAATCATTTTAAGTTCCACAAGAAATCTTCAAACTGCTTTCCACAGTGGTTGAACTAATTTATATACCCCACCAACAGTGTGTAAGTGTTCCTTTTTTTTCCTGCCTTGCAATCATCTGTTGTTCTATGACTTTTTAACATTAGCCATTCTGACCGATGTGAGATGGTATCTCATTATGGTTTTGATTTGCATTTGTCTGATAATTAGTGATGTGGAGCATTTTTTCATATATTTGTTGGCTGCATGTATATCTTCTTTTGAGAAGTGTCTGTCTATGTCTTTTCCCATTTTTAATGGAGTTGTTTTTTGTTTGTTGATTTAAGTTCCTTATAGATGTTAGAAATCAGGCCTTTGTTGAATGCATAGTTTGTCAATGTTTTCTCTCATTCTGTAGGTTGTCTGTTTACTCTGTTGATAATTTCTTTTGCAGTGTAGAAGCTCTTTACTTTAATTAGGTCCCACTTGTTAATTTTTATTTTTATTGCAGTTGCTTCTGTGGACTTAGTCATAAATTATGTCCCAAGGCTGATGTTCAGAATGGAGTTTCATAGCTTTTCTTCTAGAATTCTTATTTTTTGAGGTTTTACATTTAAATCTTTAATCCATCTTGAGTTAATTTTGTTATATAAAAAAATAGGCGTTCAGTTTTATTCTTCTGTATATAACTAGCCAGATACCCCAGAACCACTTATTGAATGGAGAGTTATTTTCTCATTGCTTATTCTTTGTAGAGTTTGTCAAAGATCAGTTGGTTGTAGATGTGTGACTTTATTTCTCTGTTTTCTATTTTGTTCCCTTGATCTATGGTCTGTTTTTGTACCAATACCATGCTGTTTTGGTAACTACAGCCATATATGTAATTTTAAGTCAGGTAATGTGATGCCTCCAGCTTTGTTCTTTTTGTTTTGGGTTACTTTGGCTGTTCAGGCTCTTTTTTTTTTTTTTTTTTGGTTTATGTGAATTTTAGAATAATCTTATCTAGTTCTGTGAAAAATAACATTGGTAGCTTAATAGAAATCTGTAGATTGTTTTTGGCAGTATGATCATTTTAGCAACATTGATTCTTCTCTTCCATCCATGGACATGGAATGTTTTTCCATTTGTTTATGTCACCTATGATCTCTTTTAGCAGTGTTTTATAGTTCTCCTTGTAGAGATCTTTCACATCCTTATCTAGCTGTATTCCTAAGCATTTTACTATTTTTTTGGAAGCTATTGTAAATGGGATTGCATTATTAACTTGGTTCTAAACTTGAACATTATGGGTATGTGGAAATGCAACTGATTTTCTTACATGGGTTTTCTTTCCTGAAACATTACTGAAGTTGTTTAACAGTTCCACAGGCCTTTGGCAGAGTCTTTAGGGTTTTCTAAGTATAGAAATATATTATAAGTGAAGAGAGACACTTCGACTCTTCTTTTCCTATCTGAATGCCTTTCATTTTTTTCTCTTGCCTGATTTCTCTGGCCAGCACTTCCAGTACTATGCTGACTAGGTATGGTGAGAACAGACATCTTTGTCTTGTTCCAAGCCTCAGGAAATGCTGTCAGTTTTTATCTATTCAGAATGATGTTTGCTGTGGGTTTGTCCTAGATAGCTCTTACGATTTTGAGGTGTATTTCTTTAAAGCCTAGTTTCTTGAGGAATTTTTTTTTTAAACCATGAAGCCATGTTGGCTTTTACCAAAAGCTTTTTCTGCATCGATTGAGATGATCACACACACACACACACACACACACACACACACACACACACATATATATATATATATGCATATATATATATATATACACACATATATATATATATAATTATATGCATGTGTGTGTGTGTGTGTGTGTGTGTGTATGTTTTGAGATGGAGACTTGCATTGTCACCCAGGCTGGAGTTCAGTGGAGTGATCTCAGGTTACCGCAATCTCCACCTCCCTGGTTCAAGTGATTCTCCTGCCTCAGCCTCCTGAGCAGCTGGAATTACAAGTGCCTGCTACCATGCCCAGCTAATTTTTTCTATTTTTAGTATAGATGAGGTTTCACTATGTTGGCCAGGCTGATCTCAAACTCCTCACCTTGTGATCTGCCTGCCTTGGCCTCCCAAAGTGCTGGGAATACAGGCATGAGCCACCATGACCAGCCTGGTTTTTGTTTTGATTCTGTTTATGTGGTTAATCATATTTATTTATATGCATGTGTTGAATCAGTCTTGCACCCCAGGAATGAAGCCTACTTGATTCTGGTGAACTAAGTTTGTGATGTTCTGCTGGATTTTGTTATTATTTCATTGAGGTTTTTTTCCCTATGTTAATCAAGGATATTGGCCTATAGTTTTCCTTTTATTATCATTTTAGTATCAAGGTGATACTGGCTTCATAGAATGAGTTAGGGAGGAATCCTTTATCTTCAATTTCTGAGAATAGTTTCAGTTTTATTGGTAACAGCTCTTCTTTGTATGTTAGAATTTGGCTGTGAATCCAACTGGTCCAGGACTTTTTTTTTTTTTTTTTTGGTTGGTAGGTTTTTTATTACTTATTGAGTTTTGGAACTCTATTTCAGCCTGTTTAGGGGTTTCAATTTCTTCCTGATTAAAACTTGGGAGATTGTGTATTTCCAGGAATTTATTCATATCCTCTAGATTTTCTAGTTTGTGTGCATAGAGGTGTTCATTATAGTCTCTGAGGAGCTTTTGTATTTCTGTGGAATTGGTTATAATGTTATCTTTGTCATTTCTGATCATGCTTATTTGGATCTTCTCTCTTTTTCTTTGTTAATTTATCTGGTAATCTATTGATTTTGTTTATTCTTTCAAATAACTAACTTTTAGTTTCATTGATTTTGTGGATTTTGGGGTCTTGATTTCATTCAGCTCTGCTCTGATTTTAGCTATTTATTTATTTTTCTGTTAGCTTTGGGGTTAGTTTGTTCTTGTTTTTCTAGTTCTTCTAGGTTTGATGTTAGATTGTTAATTTGAGATTTTTCTAACTTTTGAGGTTGGCATTTAGTGCTATAAACTTTCTTCTTAACATTTTTTTTGCTGCATCCCAGAGTTTGTGGTATGCTGTGTCTCTGTTTTCATTTATCTGAAACATTTTTTGATTTCTGTTTTAATTTCACTATGTACTAATTTCCAAGTAGTTGTATTGAAACATCTCTAATATTAATGATTTTCTGGCATTGTATTTTTTAGTCTAGTTGGTGAGTTTTCTATCTAGTCAAGGAACTTAATTTCCATATAATGTGCAAGTTATTAAGCAATAATTATTAGTAAAACTCTTTTGAGGGCAGGGTCTGAAGTTCTCTTATTTACCACTGTGTTCCCAGCTCTTTGGCACAGTTTCTATCACATAGTAGGCACTCAATAATTATATGCTGTTCTTATTAAAAAGATAGCATGGTGGAATAAATGTTATTATAGGAGCTATGGGCCTTATTTCTTCAATTATAAACTAAGGAGAATGATTTTTTTTTATTTCAAAGGACTTCATGAAAATCAAATGAAATACTGTACATATGATGGAAGATATTCACACTACTTGATAAACCTATAATATAGGATATTTGTACTACTACTAGAATGAAGCAGTATTCAATAGACTGTATTTAAAACATTTTTTTCACAATTGTTAGGCTTTGGCATAGACTTTGTTTTATGCATACATGATAAAACTGAATCATATTTCTCTTCTTCTTGGAACACAAAGAAAGTTGAAATTCAATAAATTTTTTGTGCTTAGCCTTGCTTAGCTCCCAGAGCTAGTCTGTTGTTTTGGTTGTGCCAGGTAGCCACATGGAAATGCATTCAGCACATATTTGAAAGGAGAATATAAAGAACTCCAGAAGTACCAGAAAAAAGATAGTTAAAAATCATGTAATGAGTAATCTTTTGGATTAATTGGGAAAAACAGAATTCAAATTTGGAAGTCCTTATTTTCCTTTCTGAATTTTGCCATGTCTGTTTGTCTTAGAATGAGCAACACATTAATAATCAAAGCCAGACTAGTATTTGAGTAAGTGTCCTTCACATCAACCCCTGATTTCCCTTTGGTTCTATATAAGAAAGCATTCATTACTTTCATTGGCATAAGCTTCTCATTTTGAAAAGTACTTGGATGAAATGTGTCCTGTGATACTCAGTATTCTCCCTCTTAATGTACTACATATATTGGATGTGTTGTCAAGTTTATTTGGACCCTATTTAAGTGTTGGTGGTGAAATTAGATTAGATTGCTTTCTTTCAAACATCTATCTTTTATCATTGCAGGATGAGATGCTTTTACTGACAATTGACAAGGCCACATGTGTCAGTCTTTTTAGGTGGCAATGTATAGTGCTGTAGCAAGGAAAGGAAATGAAGCCCTTAGATTTTGGTAATATACTGAATGGTCCAGAGAACAACTTATGCCCTTTTCCAAGGAACAATTCCAAAAACAAAATGTTTTCTCTTGAGCTTAAATGAAAAGCAGATACAACAAAACCTTTAAACTGAAAAATAATAGATTCACTGGCATTAGGTACTGAAGGAGTTGCACATTATTTAGACTTCTCAAAAAATTGACTAGCTCGTTAGATGGGGATCCAAACATTCTCTGGAAATTATTGTCTATGTTAACCATAAAACTACTAAACAGTTTATTATTGTCATATTCACTTAAAATGGATAACTTGATCTCTCAGTAATTCCTTGTAGAGAAGAGCCTATGGTAAGAGTATATTTTACATGTCTATTGTTAAGCATTTCAATAAATCAATGTGATGCAGGAAAATCTGACATTTCTATGGAAAATCTCTAAGCTTTCATTGCTCTTTTCATATTATTAAGGCTAGTGAGTCTTACGCTAAAGAATTTGGGATGACATTTTCTCAGTTTAAAGTATAGTTTATGAACACTGATAGAAAGTAGGTTTCTTTCTGTAGAAATTCACTTTTCTTAGCGTGCAATATCTCCTTTTACTCTCCAAATTTACCTTAAACTCCTGTCAATTCAAATTAGTTCTGTTAT